TATTTTACACCCATGTGAGAACACACCCTTAAAGAACAATTTCTCTGAATTACGTATACATTGTACCAGTATAGCAATTTATATTACATTATAAACAAAACGCCTACCTCAATACAATATTCCAGTCAATAAATCGTTCTCTACACGAAAAAAACTTACAATACAATTTGCACCAAACAACAGTAACTATAAATGTTGGCAAACAACTACTAATAAATTGTCTACCTAATTTACTATAGAACATTTGAAATTGAAGTTCCCAATTGGGAACGGAATGCAATAGAGGATTAAGATATTATTTAATGGATGAATATTATTTTAAATTTCTTTTGGTCTAATTTTTTTCTTTTTAATAGACTGAACGTACTCAACACTAGTTCATCATTAATAGTAATTGCAAGTGTATAGTATATATTATTATATTAATTATAACAAGTGTATAGTATATATTATGATATTATAAACATTCGTGCTGTATATGAAAGTCCATGTTCATTAAAAAATGATTATATGGAAATTGCATCGTACGAATACCGTGTTATAGGAAATTTGATGCACTTGTCACTGTATTATATTGTTATTGCAATCAGGTACCGTGTTATACAAAGATTTACCGTATTGTAACACTTTTAATCGATATTCTAAATAATTTTATAATTTTTTAAAATCTAATAATAAGTTTAATATTATTATATTTATCATATTATATTAATTGTTTAAATATTATATTGTTAGGTTTCAAAAATTTTTTCAATGTGTTCCATACGATACTCCAAATGTGATAATTTGCCTCCACATTTTCTATACAACACATACCAGTTCCATAATGTGAATTCGACAAGGTAGAAGAAAACTACAATGGGTTTCTTTTTGGCTTCTGGCTCATTTCTAGTCGCATGTTCCATTGTGTTATGCAGGTGTGAATAGCTAGGTGACACACATCTCTTTTGTTTCGCCATTTCAAAACCATTACGTTACCTCATTAATACGCTGCAATTTCACCTTTTTTCAATTTTTATTTTTTTAGGCCTACTGGCATTTATTTTTTGTTTAGTTTCACAGTTCCGTATGTATCGGTATTATGTTTTAATAAAATATCAGCTAAGAGCGGATTGATGTAAAAGTTGTCTATTGCGAAGTAGTAGCCTTTATTCAGCAATGGTTTCAATGACAATACGAT